AATGCTTACTTGCTTGTTAGGCCCCCTTTTTTGGCTTTTTTTTTTTTTTTCTCTAAATTTCTTGAGTATTGTTGTGAATTCTCTTTTACTTCAACCTTTGGCGATCTACAAAATGCTTACTTGCTTGTTAGGTCCCCTTTTTGGCTTTTTTTTTTCCTCTAAATTTCTTGAGTATTAAATGTTTCTCATTTATTTTCTATGTGCAATTCTCTAAGCATTATTTTTCTAAAGTATGTCTCTAATTGTTTTTTCAACATTTTCACTAAAAAAGCCAATCCCTTCCTCACAAAACAATAAGGAGTTGTTTGAAAGCTATATACAGACCCAAATCATGATTTTATATTTTATATCTCACAAAGAGTTTAAATTCTAAAATTTCTTCCCTCACAAAATTTCCACCTATAAACCCAAATCATGATTGAGTATAACTTCCAAACGGCCGACAATTAAAATTAAGCTGAAATAAAGAACATAAGCATTTTAACATAATCTAATGAAAACTATTATACTTAATGTAACAAAACTTTCCGTATTTTGTGAATAAATTTGTAATATTTTTTTAACATAACTGCACAGCAACAAGTGCTTAAAGTACGTGATTTATGCTAGTCTATATATCTATCTATATATATATATAGAAGTGTGGATCACTTCCTTTTCAATTTCGTACTTCAACTCATGTGTGCTTGGTTTCTTTTTTTTTTGTAATATTTTTTTAACATAACTGCACAGCAACAAGTGCTTAAAGTACGTGATTTATGCTAGTCTATATATCTATCTATATATATAGAAGTGTGGATCACGTCCTTTTCAATTTCGTACTTCAACTCATGTGTGCTTGGTTTCTTTTTTTTTTTTTTTCCTTTCTTCTTTTGCTTTCTTTAAGAGAAATATTCATTTTCATATAAATGTTGCTCATTTAATTTTTTTTTATCTAAATTTTTCGCCATTAAATCTATATTATATAGAAGTGTCCATGATGGTTTGAATATTGTTGTACTTCAAACTATTGGCTTGCTTGATTTCAAGTTTTTTTTCTTTTCTTTTTTTAAGCTTTTTTTTTATTTGTTTTCAAGCTTTTTTCTTTTTCTTTTAAAGCTTTTTTCATTTCTTTTTTTAATTGTATTTTAAACTTAAAATTTTGGTACTTCCACTTGTTGGCTTGCTCGCCACCCCACCCCACCCCCCCCTCTTTTCTTTTTCTTAATTGTATTTTTAAGCTTTTTTTTCATCTTATACTTTAATTGTTTTTAATTAAAATATTGTTTTTCATTAATTTTCGGTTTGAACACCTCACTTAGTATCTTTTCTTTTTAAATTTTACTACACATTTTAACTTGTGATTTTCTATACCCTTTACTATACATCTATACTATTTATAGTAGAGAAAATTTATCTATTTCTTTTAACTTTTTTTTTTCAACCGTCATTATGCACAACATGAAATTGTTAATATTCATACAACTATATCATTTTAATTAGGTTAAAATTTAAAACTTCCATATAAATTTGCACTATTACGTACTGTAAAAATTTGATATCATTCTTTAGTTTGAAAAATATTAGTAGTTGGCTATATTTACTTATGCTTGTCTTTATTAAAAAATTGTTGGCATCTTTTAAAATATATATATATATTATTAGATTCAAGTTTTTTTTCTTTTCTTTTTTTAAGCTTTTTTTTTTTATTTGTTTTCAAGCTTTTTTCTTTTTCTTTTAAAGCTTTTTTCATTTCTTTTTTTAATTGTATTTTAAACTTAAAATTTTGGTACTTCCACTTGTTGGCTTGCTCGCCACCCCACCCCACCCCCCCCTCTTTTCTTTTTCTTAATTGTATTTTTAAGCTTTTTTTTCATCTTATACTTTAATTGTTTTTAATTAAAATATTGTTTTTCATTAATTTTCGGTTTGAACACCTCACTTAGTATCTTTTCTTTTTAAATTTTACTACACATTTTAACTTGTGATTTTCTATACCCTTTACTATACATCTATACTATTTATAGTAGAGAAAATTTATCTATTTCTTTTAACTTTTTTTTTTCAACCGTCATTATGCACAACATGAAATTGTTAATATTCATACAACTATATCATTTTAATTAGGTTAAAATTTAAAACTTCCATATAAATTTGCACTATTACGTACTGTAAAAATTTGATATCATTCTTTAGTTTGAAAAATATTAGTAGTTGGCTATATTTACTTATGCTTGTCTTTATTAAAAAATTGTTGGCATCTTTTAAAAATATATATATATTTTATTAGATTTAAGTTCAATTTAAATTATAAGTTGAATTATTAACATTCTTATTTATTCATTTTTATAGAGAAACTATTAAACAAACATCTTTCTATCATGACAATATTACTTATCAAATTTAATAATTTTAAATTAAAAAAAAACACATGCAAATTACTAAGTAAAGAAATGTTACTAACAGAGACGTGCCAGGCCAGTATAGGATAGAAAATTAGAAGGAAAGAAAAACTTATGGATCCCTTTCCTTTCAGATTTTACGAGCTTTTGCTTTCTCTACAACTTGAAGTATAATAATCCAGATTCCATTCCAAATTGTCACGTTAAAATTATCAAACAAAGAGCCAGTTTGATGAGTTTGACATTTAAATTTAAAAAATAAATAAACAGTAATGTAATTATAATTTTGACCCTATATAATTATCAGATCATCACCTTCTTTCTTTACCGAGGGCAGCTGTGGAGTTTGATCTACACTTGTAGACCATTCCTAGAAAAAATTATGAAAAAAAAATTAAAAAAAAAAAAAATTTAAAAAAAAAAAAAATAAACATTTTTTAAAAAAAAAAAAAAAAAAAAAAAAAAAAAAAAAAAAAACGAATAATAGATGCTAAACAGTAAACAAGTGACAACCCATTTACTCTCTCTCTCTCCCTCCCTCCCTCTAACCGACAAGGCAACAACCATCTCTTGTTTCATGTCAATAATAAGCGACAGTGTCTTTAACTACTCTCACTAAATACTTTAATGATCCTCTCTTACTTAGCTCTCTACTCCACAAATCTCACTCTGTCACTCACAGATCCAGACCAAGAAGAAGCGGGAGCAGAAAAAGAAACCAACAACAAGAAGAAGATGGGTTCTGTTTCTCTGAAAATAGGCGACGGAACGGCCAGATTCAGAAGAGCAACACTGTGGTCTTCGGCGGTCAACATTCTGATGCTCGCCTCCGTCGTGACGACAAATCTCTTCGCTCTCTACGCCTTCACTTACTCTCCCAAACACAACCAAACGACAACACCAACAACCCGCAAGAACATCTCTCTCATCTCCGACCAGGTCGCTCTCATCATGCGAGAGATCGATTCTTCTCAGAAAAAGCTTGCCCTCATGGAGAAAGAGCTTCTGGGTTACGAAAGCTTCGATCTTTCCAGACCCAACATGGCCGCCGAGCTAAAACTATTCCTCTACCACCACCAGCTGCCTCTGGGGAAAGACTCCAGAACTGGGATCACGGAAATGGTGTCTTCTGTGGGCCACACCTGCGAGAAATCCGCCGACTTGTTGTCCCAGTATATGAGTTACAAGGTCTCCGGGCCTTGTCCTGATGATTGGAGCCTTGCCCAGAAGCTGATTTTGCGTGGATGTGAGCCCCTGCCGAGGAGGAGATGCTTTGCCAAGAGTGTTTCCAAGGTGGGTTTTTTAAGCCCTTTTCCTGTTTCTCTTTGGAAGCCTGTTTCTGATAAGATTGTGACTTGGAGTGGACTCGGGTGCAAGAGTTTTACTTGCTTGAATAGTAAGAAATTGAGTAGGGAATGTGTTGGTTGTTTTAGTTTGGTTAATGGGTCTGAAACTCAGAAGTTTGTCAAGGCTACAAGTAAGAATGATTTTGTGATTGATGAGGTTTTGGCCTTGGGAAGTGGAGGGATCAGAATAGGGTTTGAAATTGGAGGTGGGTCTGGTACTTTTGCTGCTAGAATGGCTGAGAAAAACGTGACTGTGATCACCAACACTTTGAACATTGATGCACCGTTTAGTGTGTTCATTGCTGCTAGAGGGCTTTTCCCTTTGTACATGAGTTTGGATCACAGGTTCCCTTTTTATGATAATGTGTTTGATTTGGTCCACGCGGGGAGTGGATTGGATGTTGGAGGGAAACCAGAAAAGCTGGATTTCTTAATGTTCGATATCGACCGGATTATAAGACCTGGAGGTTTCTTTTGGTTGGATAACTTCTATTGTGCCAATGATGAAAAGAAAAATGCTTTAACCAGGTTGATCGAGAGATTTGGGTATAAGAAGTTGAAATGGGTTGTTGGAGAGAAGGTTGATCCATCAGGGTCAGCAAAATCTGAGGTCTATTTGTCTGCTATTTTACAGAAGCCAGTTAGAGTATGATGATATGATATTGAGGGATTTTGTTGGAAGCCTTTGGGGAGGTAAAACATTCTATTATTATATATTAGGTTAGGTGACATACAATTTGTCTGGTTTTATTATTGCTTTTTATTGTTGTTATGATGTTCATGAATTCCTTTGAAAGCACAATAAGCGCATAAATTTATTGCTGTTCTGACTGCAAAGTGCAAACTGGCAGTGGAGAAAGAACCACCTTGTTCTGCAATTTAGAATTGCTTTAATGTCAGCCTGCGCTTTAGACTTTTGGTGGATATTTTAAGTATTTTTTTTTTTCCGCTTTTTAGATAACGAAATGTAATGCAATGAAATGAAAGCACTATAGTGTATTCTTGAATTAATTGCTGTTCTTTAATATTCAAATGAGCCGTTCTCTGGTTTCGGCTGTAGAAACAAGTGCATATACGAGGTATTCTATTCTCCGCTAGTCACTTAATCATGAGTGAAACTTTCGCATTGTTCATGTTTAGCTGGGACTTTTGTTTGCACACTCACAACATTTAAAACAAACGAAAGTGAGATGTTTATTGTCTCTAATGAGATATGGAGATCAAATCTTTAGTTTGCTAGCAGTTTTTATTCCTAAACATCCTCTTAAATGTTTTCTTGCATGTACATTTCACGACGGAGAGGTGGGACAAGGCAGGCAAGAGGGTTTCCCTTTCCCCATTTCCGTCTCTAGTTTAGTGTCTCTTCCATTTCTTGGCATTGCTTGATAGCAGATCCTTCTGGATGCAAATGAAATAACTTGAGAGCTTGTTCTGCCGTCTGACATAAGAATTGATTGGTTGAGCAAGTTTGGATAAACTTTACATTTCATTCTTTAGTGGTTTCAAATCAATTATTGTGGTAATGGGCCAGGAAAGGAATGGCTATTTCGTAGCAATGCTTCTGTTCTTTTCGACAGCAGAATTTATCTGCCTTTGTTCCCCACTATTGGGTCGAGGTAGGATGAAAGGAAATCATCAGGGAAACAATTCTTCAACTTTTTTTGTTCTCTGAAGCCTAAGCTTTTCTAAGTCGTTTAAGTGGAATATAGAGGAGGGCTACGGTGGGACTTGACGTCTGTGACTTTACAGCTAATATATATGTCCTGTAAAAGTGTTCTTCAATGCATGGAAATTTGAAAACTCGCGACCTTATATTCACGGTAAAATGGGAAAATACAAGAAGTTAATTTTATCCTTAGATATTTTGCTGCATCTTAACAGGTCTTTGATTCAAAGACAGCCCTTCATCATTTATTTATTTATGTTTATCCTTGTTAACAATTTGGAGCTTTCTATGGTTTCATTACCCTATTGGTATTACATCATCCCGTCAAAATGAAAAAGTATAAAAGACACAAAACTTGATACGTATTTAATGGTAACGTCTTTCTTCATATGTTACCATAGAATTCTCATAACAATTGATTTTTAAATTTGTTCATTTGATCGATAGTTTCCTTTGTGTATTGGCGTACGGGAGAACAAAACGGAAAATCGAGAAAAGAGACGAAGATGGAAGAAGTGCTTTGCTTCAGTCCGCTCACAACAATTACTAATACAATAACATGACCTAAACAGTGATTGCATTTTATAAATATGTTCTGTAAGAGGCCGCAATAATTTAGGTCAAGAATCCATCTGTTCTCAGTGTTTGCCATCATCAACTTCAACTTCAACAACAAACTCTAGTATGCTAAGAGGGAAAAGAAAAAAAAAAAGAAAAAAAAATAAAAAAGTTACCTCAACTAGTCCCTCAAATCCCTGCATGTTCTGGTGATTGACAATGTCAATTGGTCATACATTACATCCACGTAAAATATCAAAAGCTAACAACATCAGTGCACCCACATTGATTGACTCTGCTTTTGCACTTGTATTGGTATAATTTTACCAACAAACTACCACTACAAGGTAGCCCAGTGTGATTTAAAAGCAATAGTGTGGTGAACTATTTTCTCAAGCACGGCCAGCTTCTAGAATGGAGCCGTTGATTCCTTGCATTGCAGCACTGTTGAGAAGCTTCATTCCCTCTTCACTCATCTGCTGAACTTCTGTTGGTGAGAGAATTCTGATGCATCGAACACACCCCACAAACTCCCTGCAAAGACAAATTCAGAAAGTGAGTTATAATTTTCGAAACCGAAAAATGTAGGTGAATGTTTGATTGAGATGAAAGATAAAGAGATGGAGAACTTACTCCCAAGGATCATCACCAACGAGTAGGACATCATTCTCATAATCCACATAAACCAACTTCCATCCAGAACCTCTTGGGTCATTAAGCAGCCCTTCAAGTCCAAACATGCATTCAATTGCAGCGCAAAGTTCATCGTAGTTCGTAAAACTCGACACATCGATTGATCGTCCTACAGACCCTGCTTTTTGAACCTGTAAAGCCGAAATCAACTCAAATCAATTAACAAAGTTGAAAACAGTTGAAACATCTATTATATATAGGAAATTGATCAATATTCCTTCATACCTTCGTGTAAGTACGCACAGGTGGAACTACTTGTTGCCACGAGCTATTCTGAAGAAGACTGCTGTCATCAAGATCAACATTGCTTGAAGACGTGCCACCTGAGTTGTCTTGACGATCTTGTCTAGAGAAAGCCTGAGAGTCTCCAAGGCTTGCGGAGGTTATCTGAGACTGAACATCTTGGCTAGAGCTGAAATTGCCCACTAAACAGTCTGAAGGGTTCTGGAAATCCACATTCTTCAATGTGGAAAAGTCATCCAGAATCGTGCTTGAAACAGACGGGTCAACCACGATACTTCCCCCATTGCTACCATCAATATTCTGACAACTGTAGATCCCACTTTGAGTGTTACTCTCATCTGATAAGTCTCTAAGACTGCTTGAGTTAGATATACAATTAATGTTACTTGCGTCTTGTTGAGAGAATGGAGGGACCTGATCTGGTTGTACTTTTAGGTTATGGTTATCCCACATGCCCTGCCCTATTGAAGGCAAAGGGAAATTATTTGATTCAGGAAAAACTGAAGAGTCTTGCAAGCCGAAAACAGATAAAGGGCCCGGTGATCTAAGAAGTCCAGCATAAGGCTGGCAAGATGGGTAGAACATGCAGTCATCAGTGTCTAGGGATGGAAGTGAGACATTTGTGCTAGTGATATCAGATGGCATTGCTTCAGTTTGTTGGGAGAGATACATCAATGATTCAAGTGGCGGCTGTATGCCCCACTGACTAGTTTGCAATTGTACTGGATTCTGGTTCTGGTTGAGGTGTGTCAGCTGGTTTATTATGGCCTGTGGATTCGCAATGCCTGCAGCCAATTTCTCGTCATTGCCCTGTTCTGTTGAGGCTAACTGGCTTAACTGATCCGTTGAGACTTCATTTTCAAACTTGGACTTTTCAGTGCTAATCCCCCCAACCTTTCGGCCTTCCACTTTGGCTGCAGAGTTGAAGTTTCCAGGTGGATTATTTGCATTTGCTGATGAATTCAAGTTAGAAACACAAGATTGGTCAAGAGATGATTGGGGGCTGATTTGGTTTTGAAGAGCCAAACTTTCCGAACAAACAATTGGATGTTTTTGATTCATTGTTGCCTGCATCTTCATATCTTGTGGTGGATCAGCCTTGGCTGCCGCCTCTTGTTGTAAGGAAGCTAACGTTCCAGAGTAGTTAATAAGTTGTGGCTTCAGTAGCACCTTCATCAGTTGTTCAGAATATAGATTTGAAATTGAGTAAGGAAGATCTGCACTTCCGTTCTCAGGAACCCGGATAAAAGGTCTTTTTACCATATTTCCCCATTCAGTCTCTGCTCATTTCAGCAAGTTGTCATGAAAAAGATATAAACAGATAACAAACTTGACCACTGGAAACGGATGAAGAATAAACTTACCCAAATACCCGGCATGAAATGGTCGTTTAAGACCTGCAGTCAGCGAAGGGAAAATGAAAAGACTCTCTGGAGTCTCAATTTCCCATGGACTGACCCTGTTCTGTTTGTCACAGCAACCTGGCTCATCCCACTCTACCTGTTAATACAATAAAGTATGAGGTTCAACAGTTAAAACAAGAAAAGCAGACAAATAAATCCCTGTATTTTATTTCTCCTGGAAGTTAGAACCATGAGAATAAGAAAAAGTTGAGCTTCAATTCAAGCTATTCACCTGAAGATTTCTCCATTTTGAACCAGGCCATCTCAGTGGATCCAAGTCACTAATACCTACTATAGTACCCATATATCTGCAGAAGCCATGAAAATCAATTAATCATGAGAAAATAGCTTTGACTGTATTTTAACCACAATCGCCAAAACACTGGAGATACCTATAACACAGTCTGAAATTACCTGCGTTTACCAGATTCCTCAGTCTCAAACATCATTCCAAACCTCATGCCAACCGAAAGTTGCGTTGCATACACAGCTTTTCGGTATTTGGCCAAAGGAATGACAAATTCTGAAGGACACGCCCTGAAAATATGTTTGACGAGAAGCGTGGTCAATAAATGATTTAAGAACCAAACTGAGAACAACAAAACATACAACGAAAGACCACATATCAACAAAACCTGGGATTGTAGAATATAGTGAACGGGCTCCGATTAGCTGCAGCATGAGCGGCGGCAGCAAGGACACCAATGTGCATACTGTCAGCAGATAGAACCGACGATGGCAATGTTGACTGCTGACGATTCGCACGCCTCACGCCCACCATCAACTGTGACTTTTCATCCCTTTGCACGATAACAAAAGTGGAGAAGTAACATATCACGTTTGCTGATATAGTTAATGTTGTTGTAATTAACATCAAAAGTCAGGCTAAAGGACGATGACTGCTTACCTGATGAACAAAACAGAGTCCCCAGCTCTAAGCCTCTTTGCACCAACGAACAAACTCCATCCTGTGGTGAGAAGGTGCCGCTTTGGCTGGCCTAAAATGAACAAACATATCATAGGTTACTCTCAAGAAACAGAACCGATGAACCAGTCGCTTCAAAAGGCCGGTATCTCTCCACAATAGTGAGGCGTCTACAAAGTACTTACTAAAACACGAACTAGAGAGTAATATCTTAAGTATCCTCACCGCGGTATATATGGCGAAATGTCCAGGTAGTGTCATGCAAGTCTCGGACAACAAGTTCTTGATTTGGTGGTTGCATTGTATAGTCCTGGAGCATAAATGTACATCTCGTTATTCATAGTTCATTATCAATGAAAAGCAAGAGAAAAGCCAGCTTGCAAACGCAAAATACCATACATTGTATCTATCATATATGATTAACAAGTATTTAGACCATTGATAATTACTGTGGTTGGTGTTTAGCCTTCCTTAAACCTCTTGAAACAAAACTATTAGAGGCTCACCAGTGGAGGGAAAAGCTTCTCTGCAGCCCTCCGCGGCACTGAGAAACCACCATGCGTGCTGGTATCACTCGCAGTCAGAGTTTTGCAGAAAAACTCAGTTGGATGTTTGCTCGGCTTCAGTCCAAAGTCCGGCACCGGGAACACATCTTTCTCCTAATCCACATATTATTCACGAGTTTTAATAAAGTAAGTAAAGCTTTAATACGAACAACATAAACTAAGATGTATAATTTCTATACACGAATAGTGAAAGTAACAAAGCTTACAGAATTCACCGGTTGAAGACTCATTTGAGCATAGATTTCATCTGTATCTCTGTCTGCCTATCAAAACATTTAAAATCGAGAATATTTTTAACAAAACAACAACAAAAATAAAAACTACACATTAACTTTAAAAAAATCTCATAATCACAGAGAAGAGTAATAAGAAACAGCCAAAAGAACATACATGAAGTGTAATATTCTGGACTTGGCACATCAACTGAGAAGGGAGATTTGGGTAGTTGGGAATCTGTGAAGTTGCTTTTCTTTTAGTAGAAACCGCTACCTATTCAAACACATAACGGCCAGATCAGTAGAAATATAACCAAAATAGATACTATGACAGTATAGCGAAATCAAAGCAAAATCAATCAGCCACATTTGCATATGATTAATTTTGGGGACAAATTTTATAAATATAAAAGATAAAAGAAATGCATTCGTACTTGCTCGCTATGTCCTTGAGGGAAGTAATACACGAGACTTCCCACCTGAGGCAACGAAACAAGCGGGCCAGCGCAGGCGTGCCATAACTCTGAATTTATGGAGTTTTTAGACCCTGGAATGAAAACAAATCTCCGTAAATAAAAACACAAATCTTCAAAAGAAACTTTGAACAAAGACTAGTAATAAGATCGTTAAATGTTATAACAAGCCTTTTGATTCATTTAATGATGTAAATAATTGAAAAGTTGCAAAATAATAATAATAATAATAAAAATACCACTCTGATCCTGCTGCATTTCTTTCAACAACTTCATTTCCTCAAGAAGATTTGCTGGTGAACCTGTTTTGATCTTTTCCTCCATAGTTCCCATCTTGCTTTTCCCTCCTTTGTTATATATTCTTCAAACAGAAGAAGACAAAAAAGAAGAAGACCCCATATTTTGCTCACGTCTTCGATGCAAAACCCAGAAACCTTATTCTTAACCTCAGCTCCCAAAACATCACTTCCCCGCCAAGAACAAATCTTCCATTTTTTTTTCTTTTCGGAGCTAAAAGAATCCAAAAAAACAGAGAGAAAGAGAAAGGAATGGTGGGGAAAATTACGAATTAGAACTGACCCATGATGTTGTGTTAGAGTGAGAATCCCATGTTATTCTCCGAGAATACAAACAATCCAATCAGAATCCAACCAAAGTGAAGGAACAAAACCTGCAAAAAGGAGGGGGACTAGTACTGCAAAAGATCTTTTTGATGGTTTTTTTTTTTTTTTTTGTTGAGGAGCTTTTTTTTTTTCTCATCGACTACAACACAGCAACAGCCAAAACAAAAACTCCATCAGTTTGCATCAAAGCACGCGGACCAAAGCGTCCACAAGTGGTCTCTCTCTCTTTCCTTCCTTTCCTTTCTTTTCCTTTATTTCCTTTCCTTTATATTATTTATAATAATAATACTAATCAAGTGCTTGTTTTTATCTTCCAAAAGAAACCGACCTTTCGATGAAAAACACTCATCATCAAACCCCATTCCTCCTCTCTCTCTCTCTCTCCAAGAAAAAAAAGGGGTGTGCTCTTCTTATCGTGCGCCACACTTGCAGCTTTAAACTGTCGAAGAAAGCGAAAAAGGAAAAATAATGAAATATGTATGTGTAGCCCAATCTTTAATAAAGAAATGGAACCGAAAAGCAGAGCAAAACCAGGTGAACACGAAATACAGTACTACGGTGAGAGAGAGAGAGAGAGAGTTTTAGCTGCTTTTTAATAAGACGCAAGAAAATATTGAGAAAAAAAAAAGTAAGCAAGAATGTCAATGTGGCGCATTTTAGCACGTGGATTGCGAGGATTTGCAGAGGGGGTCACTTGTTTTTGTTTGGTTAGTTAGGTCCATTTAAATTTTTAATTTGCGTTAAGATGTAATATTGTGTGAAAATTTTTTATTATAATAAAAAAATTAAATATAATTATTTTTTAAAATTTTTTATTATAATAAAATTTAAATTTTAAACTCAAACAGAAGAACTGTCCTTATTATTTTCACCTGCTTTATTACGTCAATATATTTAAAACAAAAATATAAATAAGTGGGTTTTTCTTTTTTTATGAAATTTATTTATTTAAGTAATTCGAAAAAGCGAAAAAGAAAAGTGCCTTTCTGTGATCTTGGGTTCGCATACGATATTTGACTGATCGTCACGCGTGCGGTTCACGACAAAAGACCGAACTGAGAAGCGCAGGTTATCCAGCAGTGACACGTGTCATCTTTTTGCCTGATCAATCATGGCGCCGTTTCTGTATCTTTTTTTTTTCGCTCTCTTTTGGTTGCCTAGTTCTGGGGTCCTCTCTTAGGGATTTTTTTTTTTTAATTGCACGGATACTCTCTTAACTTGTTTTAATAGAATTGTCACTTATTTTTTTATTTAACAATATAATCTCTAACGTTATTTGGTACAATTAAGTTCTTTCGGTTTAAATTCGTTAAATTATTCACGTTAATGCTATGTTTAATAGGAATGAAAGAAAATAAGAAGCTTGTTCACTTTGTTGATTTAAGTTTATAATTCGAGTTGAGATGTGATTTTGTGTGAGAGCTTTTTACTGTAGCAAAAAAGTTAGATGTGATTATTTATGAGAGCTTTTTACTGTAGCAAAACTCGAATTCTAAACTCGAATCGGCGAAATGAACGGAGCTAAGATAGAAATAAAATATAGAAGTGATGGAAAATAGTAATGATAGAAAGAAAATTGATTTTTTTTAATATTATTTAGTACGAGAAGAATGAAAGAAAATGAGTTTACCTTAACTTGTTTGGTATTAAAAGTAAAATTAAGAAGAAAGAGAAAATCTTACTCAAAAATTACTTATATAACTATGAATAATATTTGTGAAAATAATGTGAATGGGTAAAATTGTACTTCATAATAAAGTCACGTGAATAGTATTTTTTTCCTTTAAAATCCGGCCATATTTGAAAGGATAAAAAAGAGGTGGGCCTCATGGCCTAAAAATCTCTCATATTTTCCTTTCTACTTTCCTTTCCACTCTACCAAACAACCACTATAAGTTTTTCCTTCTATTTTCTCTTCATCCTTTTCTTTCCTCTCAATAATCCATCATATCAAACACACTGTAAAACTCATATGGCCTCTTCACGTGACCTAATTACAATGGTTATTTTTGTAAAATCATGAGTTTTTTTCAAATATAATAAATATTTACAAAAATAATAAAATATAGAAAATAAATTGAAAACTAAAGCCATGTTTATTTCACCGATTGGAGGTTTCAATTTCAGTTTTATTACGGTTAAAAGCTCTCACAAAAAGTTATATCTAACTTTTTCTATTGTAGTTTAAAACTCTCACATATGCCTCGTTCATTTCACCGATTCGAGTTTTCAGTTTTAAGTTTCTACAGTAAAAAGCTCTCATAAAATGTCACATCAAAATTTTCTGCTATAGTGAAAAGCTCTCAAAAAATGTCACATCTCAACTTGAATTAAAAACTCGAATTCACAAAGTAAACGAGGCCTAAATCACATCTCAACTCGAATTAAAAACTCATCAAAACAAGGCCTACAAATCTCTCTCTCGCACTATCTACGACCATCCTCCCCCTCCACGCTGCGGACTTCGTGCCCGAATTTCACCGACTAACCTACTCCGCTACCCCCTGCCCTCCCGACCCACCGTCATCGCAACCTAGTTTCCCCAATACATGCATCAGCCGCCGTTCTTATTCCCCTATTGCTTCCCTCACCGTCGCCTCTCAAACGCCGCCACCGCCTTAAGATTTGGGTTCTAGTTGTGTGATTTTAGTTTTGTGATTTTAATTTCGTAAAAAGATCTGTGACGATGGAGGGGCGGCGAGGTCTATACACCGTTGATAGAGGTAGGGAGGGTGGGCGGGTTGGAGGAGGCGTGATGTGGGCACTGATCTGAAGTAGGGTTTGGCGCCGAGGGAAGGAAGAGGATGTGAATAGAAGAAAGAGATGCCAAGATCTGATTTTGCTTTCACATATTTGTTTTCTTCTTTTTTTGTAGTTTAAATGTTTAAAAAATATTTGTGTGCGTTTGGAATTCGTTCCAAAACGATTTTATTTTCTGTATGAAAATGAAAATGAAAACGTTTTCATTTCCATTTTGGAATCATTTCCGAAAATGCGTTTGGTAGTTTTATTCTGATATTGTTTTCAGTTTAAAAAAAAAACTGAAACTGCGTTTGGTAGTTTAATTTTTAAAAACATGTAATTGTATTTTAAATAATAATATATTCAATAAGTAATAATTGAATATCAAATAAAAACACTAATAATTAATATAATAAATTAAATTACATTACAAATAAATAATAAATAATTTAAAATAAGATAACTTAGTGAATGATTAATACAAAAAAAGTTTGCTTAGTGAATAATATTAGCTTATATTACTGTCGTATATACAAATCTCACATTTGATCAGCTAGATGATCCCTAAAACTAACTATGTAATTACGTTGTCGCCGACTACCCATTTATTATTCTTGTGTATCCATACCTTGTTGTTGGCCTTCTTGTTCTCCTTCAACATCTTCTAAGGGCAAATCGACATCATATTGTCTAAATAGAGGATCATCTCGCGCGTGCATCTTAATTAAATTGTGGATCACACAACAAGCAATTGGTATAAGCGATTATCTTGGCATCCAATAATTGGTCATAAACTTAAGAATTTTAAACCTTGCTTTCAAGACCCCAAAGCACATCTCTATGCAATTACGCAGTGAAGAGTGATAATAATTGAATAACTCTTGTGGTCCCGTTGGTTGGCCACCATTTCTAAACTATTGATTATGGTACCTCTGACCATGAAATGGTGCCAAAAAGCCTTGCGTGTTGCTATAACCGGAATTCACAACGTAATATTTTGGGTTGGGTGGCACCAAGAATCGGTTCTCTGGATCTCTCATAGTCTCAGTTAATACTCTGGAATCAGCAGCTGATCCTTCCCATCCGGTATTGACGTAAGTGAATAACATATCGAAACTACACGCCATCATTACATTCTGCGTACACGAATGTCTTCTTCCTCTGTCTGTTGATGTGCATGTGAGACAACCATTATGTGCGTACCGTCTATTGCACCAATACAATCCTATTAAAATACGTAATGTGTGAGTTAGGATTACTTTAAAGATATTTGTCATATTTTTAGGTTATGAGCATAGTCAAATTGTACCTTAAACCATGGCCAGTACTTAGGGTTGTATCGAATCTCTAGGGGGACGATGTTCATATTTGGTAGTTTTATAACTTCAGGTGCTAACGTAGATATTGCGGTAAGCACATTATCAAAATGTCGGTGTACCGTCTCTCTAGAATGACAAAATCTATCTTGTATCTCTCTATTGTGGTCTGAGTGAGTAATCGTTCTTAAGAAAATCATTAGTGATTCTTCTGTTGATATACTTGAAGAAGGCAGTAGGTTGCGGTCTCGAATCAACTAAACAATTACATCGAACGTGTCTCAATGCATACGACACATTTCAAACAGATTTTCAGGATGTCCGTGTAATTGTTCTAAAACATATTCTCGTCCTGTTAATGCAGAATTACGACGAGGTTGCCTACTTGGTCTGTTTGTAAGCAACATCATTAATTGGATAGAAATGTGTGGTTGTTCATCATCATCTGACGAGTGAAGGAAGTCAACAACTGCGTCATCATTGTCACTATTTGTGCTATCGAAATTCTTATTAACCTAAAAGAGAAACACGACTGGAACTAATCAAACATGCATATTACATTAACTAATCAAACAAAGAACTCCAATGTAATTCAATCCGACTAACAAAGAACAAAGTCTAACAAACACAAGTTTGAGAGGAAAATCTGTTTAGCATACTCAACAATACTTAAAAAAAAAAACATAAGTTCGAGAAGAAAGAATTAAAGAAAACAACACAAATAAAAATCCATTAAAATCACAGGCTTCGAATCCATGAAAGATGACGATGGGAAGGCATTTTCACAAACATCTTCCTAACGAAAATGTCAGCTGCCAACTTCTCCGCTGCATTATTATATGCATTGTCGTTTAATTACTCCTCATGGCCATTCAGCAAATCCATACATGTTTCAATACTTGTACTTGCATCCTCTTTCTGAGCCTTGGCTAAAGCCATAGTACGGGCTTGCCTATCAGCTAAATATTGCTTAAATAAATCAACTTTTTAAACAGATCTCTCATTACGTAGGGTGGCACTCTTTGCCAAAGCCTCTATAACATCTTCAACTGCAGCATTCTTCTTGCCTTTCTTCTTCGATCAAGTAATAGGACCCTAAGAGGGTCTGCTTCTATTGGTTTCGGTACAGGGGACTTCACCTGAGACCTCTGTACCCTCCTCCTCCCTTTCTGGTTACGCTTCTGGTTACGTGGCAGCCTTTTTCACCACATTCAAAACATTGACGGTTGTATGTACATTCGTTGACTCCTGTCCAGTAGCAATAGTCCCAACAAAAATCTTGAAAGTTGGACAAAGTTGTGTAAACCCCCTTTCTTGAATTTCTTAGCATCAAGATGTTTCTGACATTATAAAGAAAATAATAATAAATACTCATGTGCAATCTAATACACCAATTTAAGTCTTTCATATCACATAAGATGGTTAAGATCAAAACTTACCGCCACACGAATCCCACGCTTCTTTTTCAACCGTGACAGTGTTA